ATTGTAAGAGGCATTAAAATGTAATTTGTAGATTGTTAAGGGTGCAATTGTACCCTTAGTATACACTATGCATCTGCCCATGGTTTAAACAGTCTACTGCATACACTCAACAATGAGTTTCAGGTTTCAATTATCCTCAAGCCTGGACCCTCAATATTTGGTCAACTTGGATAAGTCTTTTGTTAGAGAATTTCAAGCTCAGGTCTACCCTTAATCATCAATAGGTTTTAGTAATGACACTGTCAACCATGCATAAACTGTACTATATGTTTGTTATTATTTTTTAGCCCAACCAGTTTCTTATGATTTCCAAGCATCTAGCATTCAGATCAAATTAAAGCTGGATCCCACTAGCTCAGCTCTGATGCTTCAGATGATTTAATTTGATAGAAATCCAAAGTTTGTTCTGCAACTGGCGAGCCTGCTTTTGATTTTGGCAACTGAGGCTAATACTCTCAACTTACTACACCAGTAGGGCAAGAAAAGGAATTGTTTCCTTAGTTTAATTCTAGTTTTTCCACTGTAATCATTCTTTTTCAGTTTTCTTAGAGGCATTAAGCTTGAAGGTGTCAATATGGATCAGATGGATTGAAGTCCAAAGCAGCGTCCTTCCTGGTCCCTTTGTATATTTGTGTGACAGCCATAAAGATGTATATTGTAATTATGGCACACTAGATTACTGGTTTGTTTGGAATTTAATTCATACTTCATAAGTCCTAAAAGTTAACGGAGTTTAGTTGTTTTTTTCTTGTTTGAGCCGGATCATGCTCTCATTGTCAATACTTGATAGTAGTAGTCAGGGTAGGGGCACTTGATGTCTTGCATTTCCTTGTAATCTACTGATATAACTCAGGTTTTCAACTTTGGTAATACCTCAGGGTACTTTTTTGAGAGTTGGCTGATCAAGTAGACAACAGGCTGACATCAGACTTAAACCAGTCTAGTGGCCCATCTTGAGTCCTCAAAAATATGGAGTGACCCATGTGTTAAAATCACCAGTCACAAGCTTGAGTCTCCAATGGATCCATTATATATAGTCTACACTAGTCGAATTATTACTCAGCTTAAATTCTATATGATTAGCCAGGTGAACAACTTATATGGTGCTTAACTAAGGTACCATATGAATGATTTGTTTTCTGTAAACATATTATTTTAAACCATGAGCACCACATGTAGTAAATTGTCAATAATAAGCTCAAGGATTTAGGATGAAATGCATCCAATTCAAAGGAGTTCCTGTTCTCTTCTGGATCTCTAAATGACAGAAAGCTTAGTGCCACTGTCCTATACGTATGTGAGTTCTTACAACAATTTCCATGTAGAAATAAAAGTATCAATAAAGACTTTTTCCATCAAAGCAAATGCTTTCCGGCTGTTTGATTTTCAATGATGCTTGTTGTTTAGTCATCTCTTGCTATAATGCTTAAAATCTCCAACTTCTCATGCTTGACATCAACTTCCTATCATTCCTTGGGTTTCAAATTGATTGACACATTCATGCTTGCACTGAATTCAACAGTTAGGCTCTCAGCCTTAAGTAATTGTGAAAACTAGGAGTCTTTTCTTAGGAGCTTTGGCTAATTGAAAGCTATTAATTGGTGCAATGTTCTTTTATCAGTACTTTTACTTGTTTGAATGATGTTAATTGTATTTCACGTCTGCAGGACCCATTCTCCTTGAAGACTATCATCTCATTGAGAAGCTTGCGCAGTTTGATAGGGAGCGCATTCCGGAGCGTGTTGTTCATGCTAGGGGTGCCAGTGCCAAGGGCTTCTTTGAGGTCACTCACGATGTTTCTCACCTCACCTGTGCTGATTTTCTTCGGGCTCCAGGGGTACAAACCCCTCTTATTGTTCGCTTCTCAACTGTCATTCATGAACGTGGGAGTCCTGAAACATTGAGAGACCCAAGAGGTTTTGCTGTGAAATTCTACACCCGAGAGGTAACGAGTTTGTTCTATATTCCTCTTGATGCTTTACTTTGATGCTTTACTAGTTTGGTTGGCATAGCATTTCTCTATAGTTAGAGATTTTCAAACTTTATTGATATTTATTATGATTTGAGGTTAATGGGTAACATATATCATATGAGGAAATTCTCTCGTTCATCCTATTGATATGGTACTATTGCTTCTCAGTTCTAATCTCAATTAGTATCTTAAAGTTTGTTGCTACGTTGAAGTTTCTTTAATTAAGTACAGTTTTAAAGTAACAGTTTCTTTAATTAAGTACAGTTTTAAAGTAACCATTAGCTTTCTCCATTATCTTCAGGGTAATTTTGATCTTGTTGGGAACAACTTTCCTGTCTTCTTCATCCGTGATGGGATGAAGTTCCCTGACATGGTGCATGCTCTCAAACCAAACCCAAAATCCCACATCCAGGAGAATTGGAGGATCATGGACTTCTTCTCACACCATCCCGAGAGCTTGCACATGTTCACCTTCCTATTTGATGATATTGGTGTTCCACAGGATTACAGGCACATGGATGGCTCTGGTGTCAACACATACACCCTCATCAATAAGGAAGGGAAGTCTCATTATGTTAAGTTCCACTGGAAACCAACCTGTGGAGTGAAGAGTTTGTTGGAGGATGAGGCTGTGACTGTTGGAGGCAATAACCACAGTCATGCCACCAAGGATCTTTATGAGTCGATTGCTGCAGGAAACTATCCAGAGTGGAAGCTTTTCATTCAGACTATTGACACAGATCATGAAGACAGGTTTGATTTTGATCCACTTGATGTGACAAAGACATGGCCGGAGGATATCATTCCTCTTCAGCCTGTTGGGCGCATGGTCTTGAACAAGAACATAGACAACTTTTTCACAGAGAATGAACAACTGGCATTCTGCCCGGCAATTGTGGTGCCAGGAATTTACTACTCGGATGATAAGCTGCTCCAGACTAGGATTTTCTCCTATGCTGATACTCAGAGGCACCGTCTTGGGCCAAACTACCTGATGCTCCCAGCTAATGCTCCCAAGTGTGCGCATCATAACAATCACCACGATGGTTTTATGAATTTCATGCACAGGGATGAGGAGGATGTTTTGTCATATATAATATGATTTTCTACAGGTGAACTATTTCCCTTCGAGATATGATCCTGTTCGTCATGCAGAGAGGTTCCCAATACCACCTGGTGTCCTTACCGGAAGACGTGAAAAGGTAAGTGTCAGCATAATTATGTGTATTTAACATTTTTCTAGCGCCCTGAGAGATTGCAATAGGCTAATACCATTGCTTTGAGCCAAAATTTTAAACCTCCAAGCAAATGCTAATGGGTATATGAATGCCTGGTACAGATTTAGCTTGCCAGGTACAAAGCAATGTTTGTCTTGTATCGTCCCTTTCCTTTAACGACCTCCCCATTTCCCAATTGATATGTTAACAATCATTTAATGCCTTGTTTTCTTATTGCAAAAAATAAGTAAATAAATAAATAATAATAATAAATCAAACACTACTATAAGTATTCATGCCTTGTTTTGTAGCCATGTTAAGCTTTCGTGCCTTCTCAAAGGCTAGCTCATCAAATGTGGGTCACATGAAAATATTTCCAATTCCCGTTTGTACATATCATAACAACTGTAAGTAATATGATTCTTTCCGTTAGAGCTACAATTTTTACTCTTTTCAACCTCGTGATGAATGTAGGTCATAATTGCCAAGGAAAACAACTTCAAGCAGCCTGGAGAGAGATACCGCTCCTTTGATCCTGCCAGGTCCGTTCTCTAGCATTTTACAAAATACCCATTACCCTTTACTGTCAAAAACTTTCTTTAATGCATTTCATTTCTCCCCTCCAGGCAGGAGCGTTTCATCTGCAGAATGGTGGATGCACTGTCAGACCCCAAAGTTACCCATGAGATCCGAAGCATCTGGATATCATATTGGTATCAGGTTAGTTTTCCCTTCTTAGTAAAAGGATATTGACGCCATTTTGTGCAAGTAATATCTAAGTATCTTAAAATGAGTCGCAAGATTGCTTATTGTGGCAATAAATGTTTGCAGGCTGACAGGTCTCTCGGTCAAAAGCTGGCAACTCGTCTCAACGTCAAGCCAAGCATGTAAGCAAACATGTTTGCAAATTGTCATTAGTGCGATTTGAGATTTGTGGGAGTGTTTATACACAGAAAAAGGGTGTCTCAGAGGCTAAAAAGAAACCTGTATTGATCTCAGGGAACTTTATATGAACATCTGAGTCTTGTTACTGTACTATTTTAATAATGTAATAATATACATTGCGAATAAGTTGAGTAAACTTTTTTGGTTATATATGTGCAGGTTTTTATTGTTAGTTTGATTCAAGCTCTGACAATGCTGTTGCATTTATGCTTCTAAAGCAATAAAAAGGTGTCGGGTGTCCCCTAGTAGGGTTCCTATTGATAACTTTAGAAGAAGACTATATCCTTGTCATAGGAGGGGATTTTCCTCCTTGTCGCCTATGTGGCACAATCCCCACCATCCTCATAAAGTAGGCACAAATCCCCCAACTCATACACTCTCCTACTTTATGAGGAGGGGGGATTGTGCACATAGCTCAAGGAGGAAATCCCTCCTATGACAAGGATATCCATTAATATATATAATAATATAATATTATATTATATAATATATATATATATATATATATATATATATATATATAGAGAGAGAGAGAGAGAGAGAGAGAGAGAGAGAGAATTAATGGGTATCTTTGTTATAGGAGGGGATTCCTCCTTGACGCTCTCTAAATCACATGATTGAGCGACATTGTGGATCTGCTCCGTTGAACTGATCTACATATTCTAAAACCCTAACACACCAAGTTTGGGGTGAACCTGTCGTCGTTGACTTCATCCACTCGTATCAATTAAAGGTTTTTGAATGAATAGAACGTTTCACATGCTCGAGAGGGTCAAACACCGACAGATTCACCCCAACTTGTGTTTTGGGGTTTTAGAATATGTAGATCAAGTTCAATTCGGAGCGACATCCATAATTTCGCTCATCATGTGATTTTAGAGACGCTCAAGGAGGAATATCCCTGCTCTATGACAAGGATACGCATTAATTCATATATTATATATATAATATATATATATATATATATATATAAACTATATATATATTATATAATATATATATATATATAAATATATATATATCTTACTTGATATAAGGTGGAAGGTCTCAATAAAAACAGAAAAATAAAGGAGAAAATAAGAAAATGATATACTACATAATACATGATTATATGCTACTTGATATAGTGGATAGGATATCAATATAATATATACTATGGTATTTATCCCCTCGTCAAACTCACGGCATATAGAGAACTGAGAGTTTGGGTAAGATGAGCCAATCTTGCGTAGATGGTTGTGTACATGGGAGAGGTGATTGAATATGAGCACATTAGTTGTAGGATTTGCAGGCGATGAGATGGAGGCTGTCCACTGGGAGTTTTGATAAAGTCGGAACTGGCGGCCATCTCTTGAGGATGTGGAAGAGACGCGAGTGGAGGTTGTATGTTGAAGGTGGACAGAGGACACTACGCGTTGTAGCTACATGTAGTTGATGGTGGGAGTGTCGCCATGAGATGTCTCTCGAGCGTGCCATTGAGGACCTTATGTTCAACATCATTGATGGGCATTGAGCATCCATCAAGGGTGACGATGGTTGTGGTTGTCGTTTTTGGTGGAGTCACAAAGGAGCCAGTGGCAGCCATCAGTGAAAGAGCAGGGCACAATAGCACTGACTGTAAGTTGTGGATGACTTCGGTTGTGAAAGGGCAGAGGGTAGGAGGTTGCAACGGGTGGTCGACGATCAGACATGATTGTCCTAAGAAGGCGGACCTGTGGTTGTGAGAGGAGGCGCAGTGACCGTATCTAGGCTGTTGGTGGATGGAGAGTAGGATTGGGTTGTTGTAGTGGCGTAGCCTAGCGGCGAGGGCAATAGTAGGATGTGCTTCGCGAGACAGTGTTTGAGTAATGGGCGATAGCGTATAGGTCACACCTAAGGTGTGCAAGGGTGATTTGCAGCGTTGCTAGTGTCTAGTCCAGGTGAGCTTGGTTGGTCAAAGGAATAGCGATGGGTAAGGTTGCAGCAACGATAACGGGAGTTGCTGTGGGTGGTTGCATCGGTGCTAGTTGCAGAGATGAAGCTTGGTTGCGG